GACCTGAATAAGAAACGAGGATAAGTGTTGTAGTTGATAAACCCTTTTATTTATATTTATAAGGGTTTAGGGTTTAGGAGGGTTTAGGGTTTAGGGTTTGACCTGAATAAGAGACGAGGATAAGTGTTGTAGTTGATAAACCCTTTTATTTATATTTATAATAGATAGAAACCGCCAAGGGTCTTCTTCTCCATTCGTAAAGTGAATATCTGTTGCTGCCTGTAAACCCTCAATTTGTTTTCCTCCCCCCCAGTTGTTTGTTTCTTTTATACTCTCATCCGCAAACAAACCATCTGTATACACACACACAAATTAGGGTTTAGGGTTTAGGGTTTAGGGTTTAGGGTTTAGGGTTTGGGGGTGGGGGGGCAGGGTTTAGGGGTTGGGGGTTAGCGTCTGCGGTTCAGTGGGTGGGGTCTAGGGTTTAACGGCTAGGGTTTAGGGTTTAGGGTTTAGGGTTTAGAGTCTAGGGTTTAGGGTTTAGGGTTTAGGGTTTAGGGTTTACGGGGGAGGGGGAAGAGTTTGTTGCAGACGTCAAGGTGAAACTGCAGGTTGATGGATTCTGGCCTCAAACCCCCAGGCGCTGCCACCTAAACACCAAATTAGGGTTTAGGGTTTAGGGTTTAGGGTTTAGGGTTTAGGGTTTGTCAAGCCAACCTAACATAATTTCTTAGTAGCTGAAGCCGAGATATGCAGGAAGTGCAGCACAGCTCCCACTGTAGAAAACAAAGTCTCTCAGGGTTTAGGGTTTAGGGTTTAGGGTCTAGGGTTTAGGGTTTAGGGTTTAGGGTCTAGGGTTTAGGGTTTAGGGTTTAGGGTTTATAGAGACCTGCCAAAAGCCAAACTGAGAACAGCTCTGCCACATCCACAGCCTCGTGTTAGAGAGCACAGAATTATCTGAAGTATTTCACAAACCCTAAACCCTAAACCCTAAACCCTAAACCCTAGAAGCCTAAACCCTAGAACCCTAAACCCTCACCACAAGCTCCCACAAAAGCTAAATCCCAACTGCAAGAAGGCATAAACCCTAAACCTTCACCACAAGAACTCGTAAACCCTAAACCCTCATCCTCCAGGTTTAGGGTTTAGGGTTTAGGGTTTAGGGTTTGTGGGGTCGCACCGAGTTGAGTGTCAGTAGCAGCAAGGAGGTTTAGGGTTTTACATTTTGTTTGTTTGCTGCTGCATGCATTTCTGAAGTATTTCGCTAAACCCTCGAGCAGCTGCTCCCCCCCATCCCCAGGTTTTTTTGTTTCTTTTTTTTTCTTTTTCTCGGGCTTGTGCTGCTGCTCAGAGCTGCTGCTGCTGCTGCTGCTGCTGCTGCTGCTGTCGATGCTGCTGCTGCTGCTGCTGCTACTGGTGTTGTCAGTGCTGCTGCTGGAATCGCTGCTGCTGCTGCTGCTGCTGCTGCTGCTGCTGCTGCTGCTGCTGCTGTGTGGGGTAACAACCCCCAAGGATTTGCAGAGGTTCTCTATTAAGGGACGTTCAGCTGGGCGGTTGTACTGTGCAGCGCAAACCCTAAACCCTAAACCCTAAACCCTAAACCCTAGACCCTAAACCCTAGACCCTAAACCCTAATAACTGAGGAAGACAGCCCGAATGAAGGCATTTCGTGCTCTTTCTCCGCAGGGAAAAGGGGAGGGAAAACGTTATAAAACCCTAAACCCTAAACCCTAAACCCT